TCAAATCAAGTACATTTATAATCACATAAAAATATTAAAAATAAACCGTCCAGATAATGTGTTACAAGATGCATTCTTATTGGAACTCGAAATATTTTTTTCCATATTCATACATCTCAACATCTTTCTAATTTCAAATCAACTTTTTATAATGAATTTTTTATGTGCATTTTAATTCTACATTTTAAAGTTGCAATCTTATATAATTCTTTTTTCATGTTAAAACCCAAACTTGAATTGAATTATGAAAAGAGGGATGGATCGATTTGTAAGGCTTTATTTAGTTTTTGGGTTATCGCGAATGCAAAGAGCACCTTGTATGGGTAAAATATTGAATAAAAAATATCCCAAATAAATAATTTTTTTTAATAAACTTCTAGATTTAAGAAAATTTACAAGAAAATAATAAGATGAGGAAGAGAAATGTGGTGTGATAGTATGGCATAAAAGTGACTGGTAAGAGAAGAGTTCGATGTACTTTTTGTAACAAAGAAATGGGTGGTGGTGTTTATATCCTAAAAGAGCATCTTGCTTGGGTAAAAGGTAATGTCACCGATTGTAAAGATGTGCCACGGGCAGTAAAATAACAAATATTAAATTAATTATTGATGGAAAAAGAAAAAATTTGCAGAGAGAAAAGAATGCGGAGGAGGTAAGAAGGGGTACGAAAGTCCAATAGATGAGGGTAAGGACCAAGAAGCAGAGCTCGAAGCACAAATGTAAAGAGCTATGATTGCCAGCCTCCAAGAGATAAATTATAGATAAATGAAAATTAAATAGATCTATGGGAGAAAGGATGGTGCATCCGGTAGTTGTCAGCCTCAACAACCTGTAGTACCAAGTAGGTGAGGATGCGGGCCTTCATTGCTTAGGTCCACATCTAATAGATTGAGACGTAATTTCTCTAGTCGACCATCTTCTTATAGTTGGCTATTTACTACTCACCGATATGAACCCATAAATGTGCTACCAATAACCTACGAATCTTCTGGACTTGATCCCCACAAGCCACAATAACATAAAAAAAAACTAAAATTTTCGTCAATAGGTATTAATAGAAAAGGTGAAAAAGATGATTAGCATGTTCTGGTATGCTAATATACTGTCATTTAATTATGCGAACTCAGACTTCTACCCACAAATGCAATCTTCTATAGTTGAGGTAAGGTCGGGTGTTAGAGGCCCAACTGCGAAGGAGCTTGCATGGCCATGTTTAGAAGCTGACGTTCATAATGTAGATAAATATATTGTGCAGTTCAAGGTCTGTTGGCCAGGTCCAGGAGTGACCATCATGACAGACGGTTGGAAGGACAAGTCTCATAAGCATCTTGTCAATTTTTTAATAGGTTGCCGTAGAGACATTGTTTACCACTCTAGCATTGACTTATTAAGAAAGAAACATACTAGAAGACTAATATGCGCACACTTGGACAATATTGTAGATGAGTTTGGGCCAAAAATATGGTCCAAGTAGTGACTGACAATGCTGCGAACTACAGAAAAGCATGCTTGTTGCTAATGGGTAGAAGACCCAATCTTTATTGGACTCACTGTGATGCCCATTATATTAATTTGATGCTTAAAAAAATAGGGAAGTTGGAGATGGTTAAAATTTGTATTTTGAAGTGCAAGTTAATTATAAGATTCATATACAATCACATGTATCTTCATGCTTTGATGAGAGAACATTGCATGCGAGATATTGGCAGGGAGTTCACCATAGTGTTCCTTACTATACAATCAAGATTGGATAACAAGGTAGGATTCAGGTCAATGATATGCTCTAACAAGTGGCAGACTGATAGGGCAGTAAGAGTCAACATGGAAGGTAGGTTGAAATCATCCTTGTCGATCGGAGGTTCTATAGCTCGATGCAACTATGTTGTTTCTATAACTGAACCTTTAGTACTAGTGTTGAAGTTAGTTGACTCTGATGATAAACCCACAATGGGGTTTTTGTTCGATGCAATGAGATGCGCAAGGGAAACTATATTTCATAATAATATATGGATTGATGAGATATTGGAAAGCGTTGATCATAGGTGGAGAGACCAACTGCATCAGGATATCCATACGACAAGTAATTTATGATTCATCATCGCAATTCATGATTCATTCTCAACTCTAATAAAATTTACCGTAATTAATAATATAACAAACCATGTGCAGGGTTATTTTTTAATCCATAAAATTTGTGCTTCAATGTCATCTTAGATGATGCAAATATCATGGAGGGGGTGAAAAACTGCATCTACAAGCTTGAGCCTAAACTTGAAACTCATATGAAGTGTATGCAACAGGTAAACTTTAATCAAAACGTGTCTGTAATAAAATTTCAATTCAGAATAATGAATTGAATTTCTAGATTTGTACTAATTTCTTGTAGACGCATTTTGTTATTTGTAGCTTATCATGTACATAGAAAAAAATGGGGAATTTGCATACAACAATGCCAAAAAAGCAGCTGAAAAATTGCACCCAGGTTAGCTTTAATTTAAAATTTACAATAGTATAGTACAATACTATTTGTGGGTTTTTTAAATCAATTTATTTTCTATTGTTAAGTATTTCTATGTTTGTCAGTGTTAACACAATGGTAGACGATGTACAGAATTCAATCAAAGCAATTACAAAATATTGCAGTTAGAGTTTTGAGTCAAACATGTGCTTCCTCGGAATGTGAAAGAAACTGACATACATTTCAGTGGATACACACCCCAAGGCAGAATAGGTTAAAGACTCGGACATTGCACAACTTGGTGTACGTTTATTACGACTTAAAATTGAGAGAGAGACACATAAAGAGGACCCCCACAAACTATATGCTGATCAACCTTGATTACATCTTCCAGAGGGATCTTACCGATGAGTGGGTATCACAAAAGACCCCACTACTAGACCATGATTTCTTTAGTGCGGCAGTTGTCGATATGGATGATAATACGGATGTTGCAGCACCTAATGAAGGAGACATTGCAGTGTACATGCATACCGACTATGACGATTATACACATGATGAAGATGATGTACAGGATGACGAGGAGACAGATGGGACAATGGAAAACGCCTGGCGAGGAGGTCCAGTGTCCAGGAATGTGAAGGGGTACAACATAATGTGGTGCCCAATAATCATGAAGATTCAATGAGATTGGCTCGAGAGGAAGTCCAAGCATCAAGACGTAGCAGTTACTCGACAAAAGAAAGACGACGCCGTAGTCGCCACTGTAACCTGGTTATTCATGATGATGACAATATTGACGTTGTTGAAGGCCATAACACAGAACAAGGTGGGGGTAGCACAGAACAAGGTGGGGGTAACATAGAACAAGGTAAGGGAGAGCACGAAGGCTGGACGAGTCTATGAGACTTTGGCGAAGTGGGTACCACGGGAAATGTTCCTGGCTGGTGAGAGGGCACAACTGCGATATTACAGACTCCACCGGGCCTCACTCAGATTTTTCATCCCGTAAACCCTGATAGTGAAACACAACAGTACCATGATCCCGCTCGTCACTCTCATTACTACTAGCCATTGTTAGTTGGACTTTGTAACTTCATCAATTGCATTAATGTCAAATTATAAATTGTTTTACATATCTCCATAGTATTCAAATATTAATTTATATAAAAAGTTGTTTCAATGTTTTTTTTTTTTGTAAGATAAGTATAAGTAATATGATAGTATACACTTAATCTAAGTTTTCTTATTTTTTTTAAATTTTTTATTTTACTTTTTTGGAGGTTTTTTACCCTTCTTTTTTTTTTTTTAAAAAAATCTACTTGACTGATTGGTCCAGTTCAAAACGTTCCAACCCCAGATTAACCTTCTAGTTCGATTTTGCGAACACTAGACTTACTCTAACCCCAGATTAACCTTCCAATTCGATTTTGCGAACACTGGACTTACTGAGTAACTCAGCTCACCTCGTAACTCAGCTCACCTCGGTGAGGGGCGAGTCCTAGCCTACTAGTTTTGTCTGTTTCATAACAGTCATTATAAGGGTCATGTACTACCAAAGGGTTAACAAAATTGTGTTCATCTACGAGATTAAGTCAAGATTTAAGCCGTTAATGCATTTTCCGTTTTCCAAATTTCACCTCTCAATTTAGCCTGAGAAAAGTTAATTTGAGAACAGTAAAACACCCCAAAATTCACGGAATGATTATGTGCATTGGGAAGGGAAACCACCGAGAAGTTACGCCCCAAAAAAAGACCTCTTTTCCTGAATTTACGCACCACTCATAATAAACACCCACTTTTCTCTCAATCCAAAAACAAAACTCACACCTTTTCCCTCTCACAAGTCCAAAAACAAGAACTGAAAACGAGTCTCCTTCAATTACGCACCCCACCGACAATCTCTCCCTCTCACATATTACCAGTCAAAACTCACCAATACAAACTCTCAACACAACATTCAAATTAACAAAATTTTCCCTCTCATCCAATGACTTAAAATGTAAAATTAAGGTACACCTCAAAAATCGGTCGTAAAAATGTTTTGATGTTAAAAAACCCTTTAATTGACGGAGATTTAATTGATGGAGATGTAAGTACATGAAAAAAAAAAAAAAGAATTATAGACCCTTACAATACCTTCCATTTTTTAGATTTTCAAGCGTTTACATATCTATTTGATTTGAACTATTTTTAGAGGTTAAGATTTTACACTTAGAAATAAAAATAGATTCGCAAACAATCCTAAAAATACTTTACGCCAAAATTATATTTATAATAAAATTTCTAGTTGTACCTTAAGTGATTGTTTAAGGTTGCAACCCTTATTCGCAGATGGCTAACTCATTCAGCAGCTTTTAAAAGTACAATAAATTAAGAATAATAATGAGTATGAGTTACAACCCTCCGCGTTACGAAACCTCAGCTTCCGCTTCCATTGGTTGAATTCGCGTATTTATGACTTCGCTATAATTATTAGATTCTCACCCCAAATAAAAGGACTAAAGAATCCAAATGAAATCTTCTTCACTATCACCGTACAAAGAGAAACTGGACAGCTATAAATATGTCCTGTATTAATTTTATGAAATTAAGTAATTAAACAACACTTAAAACAAGTTTTGTACATGTTTATTCTCATTACAAAGAAAAACCAAATCCTAACACACCGCCAAAACTGATCGGCTCACGAGTCGAGCCACGGCTCAAAGGCCAAGAGTCACATCCGACACGGGCTCGGACGAATGATGCCGTTCGACTCGAGTTCTAGGGGCCGGCTCGAAACCCAGCGTCAACTCCAGCCCGATCTCTTCGACTCGCGAGTCAGGATCGGTTTCAGAGTCAGCTCGACGAGCCAAAGAAACCTCTACCGTCTCGGCGGAGAACGCACTATCATCACCCTCAGCCGTGGGCTCGGACTGACTCGACGAATCACTATCGACTCCGTTGAAGCCACCTGGATAGCACCGGCGCCACCTGAGATTGCAGACCTGAGCCAACTCATTGTCCGTCGGTTCTGGGACAGGCTCGGCCTCGAGTTTCGGCTTCGGCTTAGAAGCCGACCGCTTAAACCGGCTCCGAGACTTCACTTTGTGGAGATCGGCGCAAGCCGCCGAGTTTGTGTTGGTGTTTTCTTCTTTGGATACATGTCTAATGTCGTAGGGTTTTGAGGAGAGAGGGGCAATGGCTGGGCCCTGATTGGCGGCGGCTTCGGTGGAGATTTGGACGATCGGCGCGCCTTTTAACACGGCTTCAACAGCGGCTTGGCAGAGCTGCCAGCTGCCGGACCACAGGAGGCCCACGGAGCCGTAGATGGGGTTTACTATGCGCCCACAGGCTTCATACAGCAGAGATCGGAAGATAGCTGAAAACCAGTAAAAATCATGATTACAATCTCCATGTACAAAAACAAATCAATTTTTAATTAGAGAAATGGATTACTTTTCATTAAATCAGACATATATTTTCATTCAATCATACAAAACCAGAAGAGAGATGTATTTTCATTCAATCATACAACACCAGAAGAGAGAAATATTTTCATTTCAATCACATAGAAATGACAAGTGGTTGAAGTATTAGAAACCAGAAGTGAAAGAGAAAATCCAGTAGAGAGAAATATGGTTCTTTCCCATTAAAGCATAAAACCCCAAAAGAGAGGAGACTGGGCTTTTCCTAGAGAGAGAAAGAGGGAGGGAGTTTAAGGATTTGAAAAATACCAGGGCGAAGATGATCAGGCCCGGCATTGATGAGATTCATGAGTCCAGCACGGCCATAGAACTTGGCAAGGAACACAGTGGCGTTGGCCTGAGACTCAGGGTTCTTAATCCATTGAAGACATGGCCTTATACTGCAGTTCTCACTGCACCCCTTCCGAAGAACCCTACAACCATTACAACTCATTCTCATGGTGACTACTCCAGCTAGAGAGAGAAACAAAAAATGGTTAAAGGTATCAATGGCAGAGAACAAAAAATGTAGAGAGAGAAAGGGGGGTTTCAGTTTTTGGGTCTGGGTTGGTAGAGAGAGAGATGGGGTATTTAAGTGACGGATGAGACCATGGATTTGTAGAGAGAGAAAGAGAGAGGGGAGGCGGGCAGCCAGTGGTTTCGAGTGAGACCCTAGAAATGGGAAGGAGTATTTAACTTGATGGGCAAATGAGACCCCCACAAAATTCTTTAAAGACGAGAGTGCCCTTATTTTCTATTCTACCGTCTTTGATGAGTTGTTGAATAAAAGTATGGGGTTTTTATGCCAGCTGATTCACACTTTACGTGTTTGCTCCGCATGAATTTTAGATCTAAAACTTCGGAGATGGGTAACTTTAATATATGAAAATGTAAATTTTAAATTTAAAAATAGGTGATTTGATGTATGTTAGCTAATCTCAAATACTTAGGATAAGATTCTTGCTGAGTGATAAGATTTGAATTTTATCTTTAGATATTTCACAATTATTATTTTAAAAAAAATATTATTTTAGAATTATTCCTCTAACCTAATATAACTTCTAATTTTGGTTGATTTTGGTGACATATTAAGTTATCGACTCGAAAAATTTTGACCTGAAATTCATATCTAAAATGAATTTAGGACAAGGACGACACTTAAGATACAAATGTTGTTGGGCAGTGATTTCATGCAACAACGGTTGTAAGGCTAAAGACGCTCCTAATGTTAATTATTTATCAATTTGGAGCGTTTTTTTATTATTTTCTCCTTAGGGTTTCGCTTTTGATGAACTTCTTGTTAAAAGGAGGAACATAAAATATTCCTTTTTAATAATTTCCTCTTTTTTTTCTATAGTTCCACACGTGTAATGTAGAACATCGTGGCCACACCTATGAAGCACTTTTATAATAGTAACAAGCCCCTAGCCCTTACAATCTTAAGTCTCGATGCTTTAGCTAAACTAAAACACAGTTCATTTTTATGTTTTTTAAAGGAAAAAAGTTATACAAGGTTAACACCTTAAAATGTAGAATTAAGATACACCTCGAAAATCTTTCGGAAAAGGTTATTTTGCTGTAAGAAAAACATTGAATTGATCATCTTGATATCGAGATATATAGAAAAAAAGAGATTTCAAGTGCTAAAAATAATAAATCTTGCAATATATTTTCTGGACTATCCATTTTCAATATTTTCATGCTTTTATATATACAATTGATTTGAACTATTGATTTGAACTATTTTTTTATTTCCAAACTTTATAATTAAAAAAAAAAAGTAGATTCTTACACCATCTTAAAAAATTTCGATATCAAAACTACATCTCATTACAAAATTTGGAGGCAACTTACTTTGATTATTTAGGTTGCCCTTTTGAAAAATATCAGCCAAAAACACCCACTTCAATTCAAGTTGCCGACATAATGAAACATAGAAAAAGAAAAACATAAAAAAAAAAAAATCAAATTAGCCTTGTGATAAAAAAATGTTGAATCGAAAATATATGTAAAACATAAATTTGTTATAAAAAACAAATACACGATAAATGGAAAAGGTGAAAGAGAAAACGAGGCGACTGGACGAAAAAAAAAGAGAAAGGGGAGCAAGGGCATAGAGTGGAAGAGAAAAACTGTTATGAGGGTATTTAGGTAAACGTGAGAAAATGGAAACCAGCAACAGAGGCATGCAAGCGGGTCCAAAACCGTGAATGTTGGGGACGCAGCGCGTGTCAACCACGTTCAGGACCCTCACTGCGGGCGGATCGCCACATATCCTGGAAAACGCCCCCTCTCGCAATCTAACTCCCTTTCTCTCTCTAAACTTTCTCTCTCTAGGCTCCTGGTTTTATGGAAACCGCTTCCCCATGAAACCAGCGGTTTTGCGCCCCCTTCCTGCCCTGTGGGCGCCCCAAGACAACCGAGGCCAGTGGTTTTGCTCAACCCCCATACTTATCTACGCAAGAGACTTTTCCAAAATTTTTAATGGCCCTTAAATTAAACAAATGTTTTTATTTTTTTTCCTTTTTAAGCAAGTGTTTCAATTGTTTTTTCACATGTCACGCGTTAGTTGATGACCACGTATTCTATGCTCGCTCGGAGGCAGAGTTTACTTCTAGTCCGTCACTGAGATGGCCTATTTGGGGAGATTTATTTTTAATATAAAATTTTGGTAGCCATTCACTAGATGATTATTCTTAGAAATATAAAAAATAAAAATTTAAGGTTTCTAATAATTAGATCTCACTTTCAAAATAATTGGAGGGTTTTTATTCAATGTTGATTTTTTTTTAGTGCTTAGAAGGTGCACTTAAAAATAGAAAAAGTTTATATAAATGCGAGGCTCTAAACAATCAAATTAGAAAGCACATCAAAATTTGCACTAGAAGAGGTTGTTTTGATGCCCAAATATCATCGAATTGATCATCTTGACCTCAAGATGTATGAACATGAGAAAAAAATAGATTTCAAGTTAGATTTCAAGTTTTGGAAATACGCATTTTTGGACAGTTGATTTTGAAGATTTTCAAGTTTGCATAGATCTTCACGATCTATACTATTTTTGAAGCTTAAGTTTTATAATTAAAGGTGAAAATATATTTTAAGGCTATCACAAAGATTTGCAATATTGAAGCCACATTTCTCGATACTATTTGGAGGTGTTTTTTATTTTGATTGTTTAGAGTCTCGGTTCTATACAAATTGCACTCTTCGTTTTAATATGAATTTTGGCAGCAACTTTAGAATCGTTAGGTGATTATTCTTAAAAAAAAAAAAAAAAAAAAAAAAAAAGAAATATTGAAACTTAAGTCTTTTGGCACTTGGATCTCACTTTCAAAAAATTGGATGGTTTCTATTCAATTTTGAGACTTTTTTTTTTCAAATGCTTATAGAGTGTAATTCCGAAATTTTTTTAGTTGAAGTTAATTTTCATTTTAAAGAGGCTATGTCTGTAAAATTTGGAGTCCTAGAACGAATCCTAAGTAAGATTCTACCAAAAGGAGTAAATAGACAGTATACTCCATAGGGAATGAAACATCTTTTGACTTGGTTGATTTTACCGAACAATTTGCCCCATTTTTAAATGATTTAAATAGATTTCGTTTAGTATGTGGCGAAATATATCCCTGTAATTATTTTATATTAAAATTTAAATTTGAAGTTCAATGAATGCGTCCATCTCTCCAAGTTTTTGTGGACGGCCGCGGCGATGGTGGGGAATTTGGACGACAACGACTCTTGGAATATGTATTAATGAAATCTTGACTTTAGCTTTTTTTTTTTTCCCTCTCTCTCTCCATATGACTCATATATCTCTCTAGGTTCTAGGTTTCTCTCTCTAGATTTTGATGACAAAGAGGTGGAGGGACTAGGGCCCACTCGAGTTTGGTTCCCTATAACTTCGGAGAATTCTGCTTTGGGGAAAGAATTTTTCCATCCTCAACTTTCTTGTTGCTTGTGTGAACTTTTCTTTTTAATGTTTATTTTTTTTTGTTAGGTGTGAAAGGAGCTTCTAACTTGCTTGTTGGATTGAGATAGAATCATTACGATTCACTCAATATTATAATGTATGACTTTTATTTTAACGTGTAAATAACGTGTAAAAAACGCATCTTAAGTAAAATAATTAAAAGAAGCTGCAAAGGAAATGAAGGAAACTTAAAAATGAAATGAGTAAAAATAGTAATGACATACTTATCACGGAAAACAAAAATGGAAACCATGATTCCCTCCCACAAAAATTAGGCCGGGCAATGGGATGGGCGGTCCTAATTCCCATAGGGCCGGCCTAGGCATAGCCTTAAGCCGGCTTTAAGCCCATACGATAAGGGGGTGAAACAAATAAAATCAATGAAATAAAAAAACAAAGATAAAGAGGGCCCCTGCCCCAGCCTGGCCCTACCTTTGGGTCGCGGTTGCCCGACCCTGGCCCAGCCTTTTGGTCACATTTTGTAACCCAGACTCTAGTTGTTTAGGGCCAAGCTGACAAGTCGGTGTAGGCCACCCAGCCTATTGCCGCTCTGAAAAAATATATGGAACCATAATTTGAACTAAAAAATTTAAGTTCATGATATGTTGCTATCTTTGTCCATTTTCTTGCTATTACACTCATAAGCATGAGTTGAGGTTATATCGTTTTGCTTTCGGAGATTTTATTTTCCACCTATATTTCTGGCACCAATTGTGAAAGTAGAGGTGTGAATCCCGTTATTTTAATCTATACTTTAGAGATACCTACGATTACGCCACCCTCTCTCTTTTTTAACATGCATCTCTAGTTTCCTTGTAATATTGAAATAATTAGGTTGTATATATGGTTACCGTGATCATTTGATTTAATTTCATTTTCAGTGATTTGATTTTTATTGATTTAATGACAAGGTTTAGATCTTTTTGCTCTCTCCTTACAAGGCAGGAAACTCCATTTGAGAAATTTGAGATACAATGAACAAGATATTATTTCGAATCTTTTTCTCTCCCAACAAAGTAGGAATCTTTCTTCATTATAAGATTTATTTACACATATGGATTCCCATGATTTTTTATTTTCTCAAATTTCACAAAGTTTTTATTTCTACGAATCATAGGAAGTGAACTTTCTTATTTTATGTTGTTATAAGATTTTATCATTTAGGTTTTTTATTCATAGAACATAATATATTTTTGAAATAATTTATCCTTCCTCAATAGTGTTCCAATAATAAGTTCCTTTGCATTTATATGACGAGGATATTTTCTCCATTTGTAAAGATTCTTTTTCTAATAATATGAATCATTCATTTTTAAAAATATAAAGATCCATTATTATTTTATTGGTTGTGGTTTATATAAGATTGCACAACGCACCATTCATTTTATTTGGATGGTTTAGATTTGACATATCTTTTAAGACAATATCATTATATAGCATATCTTTTAAGATAATGTCTAATCTCCACTGTACAAATAAAATAGATGGTGTAGATTAATTCAACTATAAATTTTTCTTTATCTTTTAAACCCTAAAGTTTACATAAGGTTACAACTTTAAATTGTAAAAAAAAAACATGCCTCACAAATTTGAAAAACTCTCAAATTGATCGTCTTGACATCGAGATATACAGATGTGAAAAAAAATATAGGTTTTTTAAGTACCGTAATACATTATCTAGC